GGTTGTATCTTTTGTAAAACATATTTATAAAATAATTATGTTTAAAAAAAAAAACAACAGCGATATTTTATCATTTGTAGATAAAAAATAACTAAATGAATCGGAGGACATGTAAATCACGATTTTTAAATGAAAAAAAAAATCATAAAAAAAGTAATAAGAAAATGATTCAAAATGATAAAAAGAAAATAATATATTATAACAAAAAGATATTTACATGAGTAGTGGATTAGTGAATCGAAAATTGTGGCAAATTTAAAAAACATGTTACGATGAATGAAATGAAATCTTTAGAATATTTTTTACTTTTAATTAATTTGCATATATTGCATAACTATATATGAAAAAAATAAAATATTTAAAGTTCAAATAGGCGACTTATTTATATGTATATAATAAAGTGTACAGTCCAAATACTTAAATTTTATTTAGCATTTATATTGTTAATATTGATACCGTGATTATTGTAAAGTCCAACTCTCATTTTTACGGTAAATTTATATTATATTAAAATGAATTGATAAGTCTAAAAAAGATATGGATTGAATTAAAGAGATTGAATCGTGGTTAAATATCTTGATATTATAATTATACTGTTTTCAAAAAGATATTCCATAACATTTGGTTACATAATAATAATGCGTTTAAATATAATTGATTCCAAATAGCCAGATTTAGTGTTTAATCAAATATTATGGAATATCTTTTTAAAAATATATAATTATTAATATATTTTTTGTTTCTTATTTATATTTTATTTTATTTTTGCCAATTGACAATATTATGTTTGATCACATTGTGCACGCAGATAATTTTTTAGATATAAAGTTGTGAACTTAACAAATATCTTATGTTGTTCACAATCCATATAAATAATTGACATTTATCAAAATTTATGTGATAACAACATTTATGCATTGTAAATGCTCTTATTTTGTTTTAAATAATTTCAAATATACTTCTATTCATTCCAAATAAAATTCATACTACTTAAATTCGAACATTTCTTACCAAAAATAAATCACTCACTTTATACAACAAAATCGGATATTTATTATTAACAACACATTTTCTATGAAAAAATAAAAATGGCTATCAGATACTTAAAATAAAATCATCAACTTTATACTAAAATTGGATTTATTAATTTTGTCAACTTTATACATAAATTAATTAAGTATTTTCTAAAAGTCATTTTTACATTTTGTCAAAAATATTTTTTAGCGGCACATAAATGTTATTTATATTTTTGTATTTTGTTACCCTGTCTACGAAGAAAAAGATAATCTTGCAACTCTACTATGCCAACAAAAAAATGTATGAAAATAACATAAGTATTAATTTATTATGTTTTACTCAATACGGGAAATATAATATAGATATAAAGATTAACGATTAATTCTCTATAATTGCTCAATCAAGTATATATATTTAAACTAAAGATTTCGAAAGTTTCTATAATACCCCATATTTGTTTCCATAAAACTAAATCATCCTAAATTTAAATTCAACTAATAAAGGCAATACCATAAATATTTGACTAAAAAGATTATGTACATTAATTACATTGATTTTTGTTAATTTACTATTTTTGGACAATAATTAATGAAATTGGCGGGAAAATATTTCTAAAAGTGAATTATGTTAATCCTTATTATATATTAATAGATATATATATAGATAGATATGATCACATAATTAAACTTTGAATTTTTCTATTTTTCTTGAAGTGAAATGTTACAAAATTGGGAGAGATTCTTGTGTCATGCATTGCATGGGTCCAAGAAAATAAAATGTTTGTTCTTTCCTTGCACACAAACTTACATGTCATAGTCATCATCATTGAATTGCATATATATAATATAATTATAAGTACTTTTTTTCTCTTTCAAATTAAAAAAATTAAATTCTAGATAAAATATTGGTAAAAGTGTGTGTATGCATAAGAAATTAAAATTGAACTAGACTGATTTCTTACCTTTTAGTCAATAGGTTTGTTTTTATGTATAATGTATTAGTTATATAGGTTTTATAAAAAAAAAATATATATGTACAAAAGAAACAATATATAAAACAAGATGTCATTTAAAGTTATTTATGAAGTATAATGAATATTATTTTATTTTTAAATATGATACTCTCATATGTGTGTGTGTTTGAGAGAGAGAGAGAGAGATAAAATATGATAT